ACAAACTGTAGTTTATTGTAAAACTGGAGTTTTAAAATAAACTACAGTTTATTTATATTAACTACTAGTTTACGGATCACACCTTTACATTATGGTATAAATTAAAATGCTATCAGCGTGCATTTAGTGTTTATAAAGTTATCATTATGTCATTAACAGTTTATCTCGGTCATCAGAAAGGAGTAGATATAACTGTTTTGATAGAAATTCAAAAATACTTCCAAGATTATCAAAAAGAAATGGATTATGATTCTAATAGAAATTTAATAAGAATTAAACTATATGTCACCAAAAATGTTAAAATTATACTTACGGAATTTTGTTCTAATAATCGTTCAAATGAAAAAGAAAGAATTGATTCTAATTGTTCGGCTATTAATTTGAATAGACTTTCAAACAAACAGAGAACAAAATTAAATATGAAATTTTTCAAAGGTGTAATAGTATTTACTGAAAATGATATTATGGATCCTGGTACAATATACACTAAATCATGCGCAACAAAATTACGAAGACATTTCTATAAAATTAACTCTTGTAAAGTTGACCCAAACTTCAGAACTCACTTCATAATATATTCTCAATAATTTAGTAGCTTCTACCCAATATTTTATTTGATAGCCCAGTTTGTACACTTGATTGGTGATTTCATCTATTCATCTATTGGACTTCCAAACTAGATAGCCTAGCTACTATACACTTTTCTTTGTGACTAGACAAGTACTCTCCTGACAAAGCAGCCTGTAGACCTAGTACTATCACTATAACTTTCTAAGTGCTCTCCAGTCAGATTATCTAGTTTTTATCTATTTGCAACACCTGGTAATATGTGGGCTTTCCAATACCTTGTTTCTTGTCCATAGTAGCTCTGTCAAAGATCTGTGCTACTTCTTTACTTGGTAATGCCCTCATATTTGCAATTCTTCAGATTTATATAACTCAGAGGGTTATCTTATGTTGTATTACCTATTACTGGTTTGCATCTTTTCATATAACATTTCTATTATAGAAAAACAAAAATATAGTAAGAGAGATATTATTGATCTTTGTAAAGATAGAAATATTAAATGCATTTTTTAAAGTTCAGTTAGAGAGAGATAAAGATTATTGTTGTACATGATATAGAAATTAAATCTTATATAAGAAGCGAAAAAGAATAGTTATAACATCATTAAATGTAAAAAACTTATGCAACGAAAAATTTTCAATTTCCGATATCATCTGGGTGCCGTAGAAGAATGAACTGAGTTTAGAGGTGCGATCCGTAAACTAGTAGTTAATATAAATAAACTGTAGTTTATTGTAAAACTTGAAGAGTAGGTACTTATATTTGCAAAACTGTTTTGAAAGATTAATCTAAATTTATTAAAAAAAATGCTATTAAAAACAACAAAAGATTTCTTTGACTTAGGTAATTATTTGCAATTTTAGAAAATGAATCATATTTTTTTTCAAAATAATCATGTGTATGTTGTATATAAAATGGTAAAGTTTCTCATTCAACGCATGAATATATTGCTACTTGTACAGGTAAGTTTGTCAGTCAGCACGTGCAGAGAGCGAGTTAAAATCAGAATTCTAAAATAGTTCATTATAAATTTATAATAGAATTCTGAACGAATTCAAATATTCTTAATATTTTGATAAATAATGTTGTTATATCTCAAGGACCAATAATCATACGGCATCATCCAACCAGAGGTCGTATAGAAGGTTTAAGTACTAATTCCACAGAAACAATCCTGTATTATAAATGATGAATTTTCTGAAGAGGACTTCAAACCAATATTAAAGGATATCAAACCACCAATATTTGCTGAACTAATAAACAAAAAATAAAAACTGAATTATAAGTGATTGTAAATTTAAAGATTTCATTGATAAAATTCGAGAAACACAAGTATTAGTTATGCACTATTCTAATCTTCGTTTGTCAGATATACATAGATTCAGTACGGTACGGTGGTTTGGTCAGTACAGTACTGTACTATATTTTTAAATTAAATTTATTCATCTGAAAATTTTGATTAAAAATTTAATTATCATTAATCAATTAATTGAATTTTAACTTGCAAATAAATTAATAAGAATCAACTATTCGTTTTCTTGCATATTTGAGAATCCAAATTTATAAAAGAAATAAAACTAGTCTCACACCTTTGTTTGAAACAAGTGTTCTTTTTAATTATACCAAAAGAAGGTAAATATAGGATTGAATCAATAGAAATCAAGCAAATCAAAAATTTTTCAAAATTGAGATTTTTTAATAAAATAATAGAAGGTAATATGCCAATTATTTTTTAATTAATAATGAAATTTAATTATTATAATAAAATTTTATGATAAATCTAGTTTTAAGTTTTTTGTACACAAAAATTGTAATCTGGAAATCATTCCAGAAATATAAATCGATCTATTCGATTTTGTGTAACATGCTGAGTCAACAAAAATCAAGCAAATCTATTAGATAAATTTGCTTGATTTCTGTTGACCCAGCATATTACACGAAATTGAGTTGATTTTTCAAAATTACTGATTTGATCGTATCATATCGGATAGTGTCGGATATTATTTACTAAGTGTAATACAAAAATGTAATTTTCTCAAAATTAGTAATTTACTGATTTGCTAGATTTCTGTTGACTTACTCCCATATTCTGGTTTTTTTTTCCCATTTAAAGGCCGGGTACTATGGCCGATTTTTTATTATGAGGTAGCATAATATTTGTTACATGAGCAAGGATACAACTAGCCA